AAGATGAGTCTTGTATGTGCTCCATCTTCTCAAAAGATGGCATCGGTACCTGTCTACTGATGACCTGAGAATACAAGTTATTTTGAAAAAGTTTATCAACATTAATGCTGGTGAGTTCATAAGTATTTAGTGTCCATCATTGTATCAAAATGTTTGAAACAGTGTTTGAAGTATGAGTTTGTAAACGTTTGTAGTAAAAGTATGTGTATGTTTGTAAGTGTTTGTAAAAGTTTGTAACTCCTAGAAAATCCTATATTTTCTACTAAAAGTAGCCTTCTACCAAGGCACAACTATTTTGTATGTTTGTTTCTTGTAAAAGTGTATAATTTTCCCAACTGTAACTATCATTATCAAAATATAGTTTGTACATTAATGTTTAAGTGAAATAATCACCAAATAAATGTAAAGGGTAAATTAATGTAGTACTGTAGTGTTGTATTATAGTAACTACTGCTGTACTAACTACCTTAAACCGAATTTATATTAAGGTATCATGTCATTAATTGTACCATACTATCGACTATGAACACGACAATGTAAGTCGTCAAAAGTAATGACATTTGGCACCTGATGTGACAATAGTCAATTTCGGGTCAAGTCATAGTCAAACAAAGTCAACAAGTCAAACCGGATTTGGTATATTTACGCAATGAGTCTGGATGATCAGGGGCAAGTGGCGAATTGATAAAAAAGTGAATGATCAGGGACATATCGAGATAATAAAAACAAAAAAAATGTTGGTAATTGGTTTCGAACCCATGACACTCCAAAATATACTAATAACTACATTGACACTTACCAAGTGGGGTATCTGCGTGTTTGCAAGTAATTTCTTTACCAAATAAACAAAAACATTAACCAAAACAGAAAGGAATCCAGTAAAACCTATCTAATACAAACACAATTAGAAGGAAATTATATAATTTTGTTTGTTTTATCATAATAACAATTAATGGTAAGTAATTACCATTTTGCCCATAAGACAATTACATTAAAAACATCATCAAATATGGACATATAATATATAAATGACTATTATACCCTTGATAACACAATCTTAATTAACATATAAAACATATAATATATAAATGACTGTTATACCCCTGTGTTAGCATAAACACAGGTTAAATCTAAGTTTCAAAGTACATTGCCATCTTAATAAAAATTTATCTAAAACAGGGACAAATATGCAACACATGGTCATAATTAACATGTAAAATATAGAATGATAAGTAAGTACCATTTTTCCCATAAGACAATTACATTAAAAACATCATCAAATCTGGACATATAATATATAAATGACTGTTATACCCTTGCTAACACAATCTTAATTAACATATAAAACATATAATATATAAATGACTGTTATACCCCTGTGTTAGCATAAACACAGGTTACAACTAAGTTTCAAAGTACATTGCCATCTTAATAAAAATTTATCTAAAACAGGGACAAATATGACTTAGTTACAAGTTATGCAAAACATGGATATAATTAACATATAAAATTATTATGATAACTAATTCCGATGTTGCCCCTAAGACATTTATATTGCAAACACCATCAAATTTGGGCATATAACATGTAATAGACTGTTATACCCCTGTGTTACCAAACAACATTGCCTTTTTAACAACATAATATATCAAAACAGGGACATAATGTAAAACATCAAATGTAGACTTACTATATAATCAAAACAATATGACCTATAGACATAATATATAACAATTCATTAAAAAAAATAGTTTCATATTAAGTACAAAAGTAGAGTATCATATTCACTCTATGTTAATCACAAAAAAGATTACAACATAGTTCACATAGGCTATGTTTTTCCATGCTACGACATTTTCTTTAGCCATGTCCATAGCATCCTCCATTTTTTCTCTTGGAATTGTCATGTTTAGCATATGTTGGATGTATGCTATTCCATCATTAACCCAAGCTGTTGGATGTTCTGTTACAAACATGTTAATAAGCTTCTCAACACGTTTGGCTCGAGAGTTCATCAAAAAGTGTGGGAAATTGTTTGGAACAAACACAAGCCTGTGTTCAACATAGAGATGTTCAGTCTCTTTGAATTCGTGGGCCCTAACTAACATCTTGAATGGTTCCAAACATTCATCATTTAGTATTGGAACCATTGACAACCCACTGTGTTCTCCGATGGGCATATGATACCAGTTCCCCAAACTGGTATACCCAGGGCTTCTAGAAAAACTCCCAAGCAACTCCATGTCTAACAAATCGATGTTCACATGAGAAATGAAGTGAACCTTGGTCTGTTGATACGCCTTGCCTGGGAAGTCTGTAAAGAACCCACCATGGATAATGCGAATGGTGAAACATTTGTCGTTTGCCTTCCCGTATTCAACCACCGGTTTGTTTTTTGGTGGTTCTGCGCTTACACTCCAGAGATTGAAGTTCAGACTGGCCCATGGATCAGCATTCATCTTCTTTTCTGAAAATCGACGTATTTTTTTTCAAAGAGGAATAAGGAGTAATCGAAGTTATCGTAACCTAATGAATATGTGAGAATGACGAAATTGACATAAGCGAATGGTTTATAAGGATCATCAGTCGGAGGTGAAGCAACATCGACTGAGGCCATCACTTCTCCAATTAACTGAAGTCTACAAAGGTGGATTTAGAACGACGGTTAATCGGCTACGATAATGATTACACATTTTTGTATTACACATTAATATATCTAGTATTTACATTAATATGAATTATATTCATGTAAAAACTATATACAATATTAATTAAATATAATATCCAAACTAGCATTCTTTTTTTATCAAACAAAATAATAAATTTATATATAAATTTTTAATTAATATGTAAAATTAATTTTTTTTTACCTCATTTGGTCATGTCCATAGTGTTGGTTGTGGGTTTGGACCTCATTTGGTCATGTCCATAGCGTTGGTTGTGGGTTTGGACCTCATTGGGTCATGCATGGGTGTTTGTTGTGAGTTTGGACCTCATGTGGTCATGTCCATAGTGTTGGTTGTGGGTTTGGACCTCATTGGGTCATGCATGGGTGTTGGTTGTGGTTTTGGACCTCATTTGGTCATGTCCACAGCGTTGGTTGTGGGTTTGGACCTCATTTGGTCATGTATGGGTGGTGGTTGTGGGTTTGTACTCATTGGGTCATGTATGGGTGTTGGTTGTGGGTTTGGACCTCATTTCGTCATATCCATAGTGTTGGTTGTGGGTTTGGACCTCATTTGGTCATGCATGGGTGTTGGTTGTGGGTTTGGACCTCATTTGGTCATGTCCATAGTGTTGGTTGTGGGTTTGGACCTCATTTGGTCATGCATGGGTGTTGGTTGTGGGTTTGGACCTCATTTTGTCATGTCCATAGTGTTGGTTGTGTGTTTGGACCTCATTGGGTCATGCATGGTTGTTGCTTGTGGGTTTGGACCTCATTTGGTCATGTCCATAGTGTTGGTTGTGGGTTTGGACTTCATTTGGTCATGCATGGGTGTTGGTTGTGGGTTTGGGCCTCATTTGGTCATGCTCATAGTGTTGGTTGTGGGTTTGGACCTCATTGGGTCATGCATGGTTGTTGGTTATGGGTTTGGACCTCATTTGGTTATGTCCATAGCATTGGTTGTGGTTTTGGACCTCATTTGGTCATGTATGGCTTTTGGTTGTGGGTTTAGACCTCATTGGGTCATGCATGGGTGTTGGTTGTGGGTTTGGACCTCATTTGTTCATATCCATAGTGTTGGTTGTGGGTTTGGACCTCATTTGGTCATGTCCATAGTGTTGGTTGTGGGTTTGGACCTCATTTGGTCATAGATGGGTGTTGGTTGTGGGTTTGGACCTTATTTGGTCACGTCTATAGTGTTGGTTGTGGGTTTGGACCTCATTTGGTTATGCATGGGTGTTGGTTGTGGGTTTGGACCTCATTTGGTCATGTATGGGTGTTGGTTGTGGGTTTGGACCTCATTGGGTCATCCATGGGTGTTGGTGACCTCATTTGGTCATGTATGGGTGTTGGTTGTGGGTTTGGACCTTATTTGGTCATGCATGGCTGTTGGTTGTTGGTTTGGACCTCATTTGGTCATGTCCATAGTGTTGGTTGTGGGTTTGGACCTCATTTGGTCATGTCCATAGTTTTGGTTGTGGGTTTGGACCTCATTTGGTCATGTCCATAGTTTTGGTTGTGGGTTTGGACCAAATTACGCCTACTAGACCATATTATTATTTTTGTTATATAAAAATATTTTTCCCTTGTATATATAATTTTTTAATTTTATATATTTTTTATTTCAAATAGTCATAAATTTTTTTCCAAAAAATAAATTGTTAACTTATAAGGACCAAATATTTAATATTTATATTCTTACCAAATAAATCATACTAATTTTTGAAAATGCACGACATGTTTCCAAACCACGATTTTTTCTTCTAATTGTGTGGGATTACTAGGAGATCAAAATTTGAAACACATTTGAATCTGTCAAACGAATTTAAACAAAAACTAATGAGAGGCAAATATTTTTTTGTATGGTTTTTGGGCTCCAAATCAAAGCGAGAAATCTTCATCTATCACACCGCCAAAACTATGAAGATCAATCCGTCAGATGAAGGAAATTCCGGTAATTTTTGGTAACCTCCATCAATTTAGGACCTGTTATATTATTTTAATATTTAATTGACTGTGATTTATTCCACCATTGTTTTGTTTAGCATTTGGTTATATCCCAGAAGGATCATACTTCAATTCATCATTCATCAAGCTTTCTAGTGTATGTATATTGTTTGTGTACGTATAGTTTCAATGTTATTGATTGTATTGATCACGGATCATGCATAACACAAAGAATTTTGATTCTTCATATTGGTGTGCTTCTTGCACACAAACTGTTCGATGACATGTTTATGTGAGAAATTGTCTGTAATATTATTTGTTCGTACATTATCATCAAACTTATAAACAATCAAACTTATTTTCAATCTGTTTTATCAACAGAAGAATCATGGAGATTGACAAGGAACAACATGAGGATATCACTAACTATAATACAGAATATGAGCTACATGATGGAAACCAAGAATCAGATTCGCCTACAGAGAATGGTGAAAATAAAGACATTCACTAGAATAGCCAATCAGATTTGGAAGAAGAAATCCACAAAACAGTTCCTTCAAAATCAGATAGGAAGAGGGGCATGACTCGATTGCCAAAACTGAAGACTGAATATGTCAATTCTGGTGTAAAAAATTGTGTCAGGTTTGATGAATTTGGTAAGTTTACAGGGAAGAATAATGTAGTCTTTGTTAGCTATTTGGGTGATCTTGTCCGCGAGAAGGTGGAATTAAGTGCTCTTTGCTGGAAAAAAGTTAAACCGGAAATGAAGGACAAAATACGGGAAGAGATAACAGTAAATATTTTCTTCAATTTTTTAATCTGTATAACATAATATATGTAAAAATCAAGTTTTAAATACTAACATTCTCATTGTTTTTTTTAGCATTATTTTGAGGTTCATGAAAGTGGAAAACAATTTGTGATGAATAGACTTGGTATTCTTCTACGGAATTTCAGAAGAAAGTTGTATGCAGATTACATCAAACCACATCTAGACGATACCGATATGCTTGAAAAAATCCCAGTTCATTATCGTGCACTAATAACTGAACAAGATGATTGGAACAAATTTGTGACTTGTACACAATGTCAAGAGTTTAATGTTAAAATTTGTTTTCAAAACTTATTCATTTATTTATCATAATCTGGGTTCTAAAAGTTCGTGACAAATATGTTACTTTTAATTCACAGAATGTGTCACAAAGGACTATCAAAGCGAGAAAGATGTCAAAGTAAGATCATCGGATGGGATGAGGGGGGTATACAACTCCTAGGAGGAAGTTGGTAAGCTACATTAACTTCATATCATTTTATTTAACATGCTTTTGTTTCATATTCTTTATAATTTAATTTTTTTTATCAAGATTGAAGAGAATGTGATTTCAAAGGAGGAAATTCCCCCAAGGTCAGTTATGTGGTGTAAAGGGCGTGAAAGTAAAGGAGAATTTAAGGATGAAGATGTTAAAATCATGGCTGATAAACTAGTAAGTTCAATACACTTTTCTTTTTCCTTTACTTTAAATATTTTAATCATTGATATTAACACAATAATTATTAATTTATTGTTTGGTAGATGGAACATGAGAAGTAGATAAAAGAAGGACAAGTAAATGTTGAACCAGGAATGGATGCCATGACCTTCGTTTTTGGAAAGGAAAAGGGTAGATTTTTAAAGGGTGTCGGCACCGGAGTCACTTACAACAGATATTTCAATGTTCCTCGCAGCAAAGGATCATTTAAGGAAGAAATTAAAGATCTTAAAGTTGCACTGCATAATGGAAAACTTGAGCTTGAGAAAAAAGATGCTGAACTCAAGGCTTTGTCTACAAAGGTTAATGAACAAGATCAAACACTAAAGCTAGATTTGGCTCATCTTAATGCAAAAGGAGCTGACTTTCCAAATCTGTCTCATACAATTGTAATTAATCCTATTGAAAATATTTGTTGTCAATGTTAGTTCTAAATTGCATTTCTTTTAAACATTTTTCCTGTTTCTTTATATTTTCTAGGGTATTTCAAGTGAGAAGATTGTACAGAGTAATGAAACGTCTCCTGTTAGTCTAAAAAACAATGAACCTTCAGAACCTGTAACACCAGTATGTATCGTCTTATTAGATCAACATTGATATATTATATATATATATATATAATATATATATATATATATATATATATATATATATATTTGTTTGATACTGATTTCTGATTTTTCATGTTGGACTTTATATTATGCAGGTTATTCCAAAACCCAACAAAAAACTTGTTCAAACGAAATCTGCAACTGCAGCACCCGATGCAAAATTGATTTCCATGAAATCTGCAACAGTAGTATATATTAACTTTACAGTTTTCAATACTTTTATGAACAAATTACTGAAATCGTCCCTGTGGTTTGGGTAAAATTACATGTTAGGTCCGAACATTTTTTTACACTCGGATGGTCCTTAACGTATCATATTCTTGCGTTTTTCGTCTATTGTAAAAATAAAAAGACTATATTGCCCTTTGTATTTTATTTTTCAGTTTTTTGTTACTTATTTTTATTGATTAATTAAAATAAATGAATTATAAATTTATAGTGGGTCCACCTACTCCACCCCCCCCCCCCCACCGGTCTCCCTTCCCATCCACCGCCACCGTCCACCTCCGATAACCATTCCGGCAGCACCTACGTTCAAACATGGTTCATCCCTGACAACCACCACAATTTACACAAAATCAAAAGAAATTAAACCAAAATCAAGCACCAGATCAACTACCACACCCACCACTCTTTACAAACTACAAACCAAACAAAATCAAGAATCAATGTATAAAAAATCAAAGCCTACGATTAACACTAAACCAAAACCACCCATCAAAACTAAATTCAAAGATCAGAACCAAACCAAAAAAAGATAAAACCAAACCTTGTAATCAAATCGCAAAATTAAACATAAAATGGGCGTGTGTATCTTAGAACAAACTACAAAATCAAAATCAAACATTGAAACCGAACGGATGAAATCTAGAAATAAGGGTGAACGGTTGCAACCAGGGTGATGGTGAGAAACATGGTTCTGGTAAAAATTATCTCCATCAGGAACCGAACTTGATGAAATCTTGAAACACTCTGTCACCATCAAGAAGAGAAAAACAATGAGGTTCTGGTAAAAGTTATCTCCATCTCCACACATCAATGTTCGATAATAGATCTGAAACCAAACGTCGGTGGGATAATCGAAGGCGATGATCTCAGCTATGGTTCTAGATTATCAAGGTGAGGGGCAGAGGAAGGAGAAGTGATGGTCTTTCAGGGGAATCCAATGATGTTTGAGGATCCGAAGTAGAGAGAGCGGAGTGAAGAGTGAGAGAGAGAGAGAGAGAGAGAGAGAGATAAGAGAGACGAAGTAGATGGGTTTTCAATGGGTTCCGGCGGGCGGCGGGTGGCGCTTCGACATAGTGCTCCACCTGCGACAGTGGAACAAAACACTCCTAAGGCGACGGTGGTTGAGAGATTTAGGTTCGAAAAAAGGAGGTGCTTCCCGCGTTTGATGTATCCCGGATGATGGCAGCGGTGGTATAGATTTAGGGTTCCGGAAAAAACTCTGGTTATGGAGAGGAAAGAGGGACTAGCTTCAGTGAAAGGGAATAATGGATATAGGGTAGGAACTTAGAGGAGATGAAAGAGTTTAGTGGGCCCTGCAAGTTTTATCAGTTTTTTTAATAATATAAATAATAAAAGAACTTAAAAATAAAAAAACAAAGGGTAATATAGTCTTTTTAAATGTGTTAGGGACGAAAACGTAACAAAATCATATTACAAGGACGGTTCGAGTGCAAAAGAAAAATTAGGGACCAAACACGCAATTTTGACCAAACCACAGGGACGATTTCAGTAATTTGTTCTACTGTTATTTAATCTCTTTTATTGAAATATATGTTTAAATATGTCTTAAATCTTGATATCAGGCAAATACAAAAACCACCAACAAAACTGTTGAGTCTAAGACTACCACTATCAATCAAAACATACCAAAAGTTTCACCAAATAATCTCATTCACCAGGTCAGTGTTTTTTACATGATGAATATACATTTATGTTATTTTTCTTTTCAAATTATAACATTACTTATCATTGTAGCCAATCAAGTGTAGTCTATCATATTCGTATAAAAGGAACATCGTTGCCCGCAGTACCATTCACTAATCATCAAAAAGACAATTCATTCATGGAGTTCCTGTACAAGATGATTGCTATAAAGTTTCCATTGATGAAGTGGTTGTAAAAAACTGCATTTCTACCCCATCAAACTGGAGAATTCAAATTAGTTGAGGATGCATATAAAAATTTTGTTCCATGGCCAAAATACCTTGTGCAAACCGAGTCAAAGGTTTGTTTCAATATGTCCAATACTTTTTGCATTAAACTTTATTTTCTTCATAAAGTACTATACTAAGTTTATGATGAATTAATTTTATTGGTTTCAATGTTGTTGTTATAGGTACCAGAAATTATATCACATCAAAAATCAATAAAAAGGAAACCAACTTACATATCATCTGATGCCCTTCTGAAGAAGACAAGGAGCAATACAAACAAAAATAATGCCTAGCTAGTTATGTTTAGGTTTTGGTTTATGATGTCTTTGATTTTTTAACCGTTATATAAATTCTTTAAATTACGCAAATTTTCCTTTCTTTGATATTTTAATCAGGAATGTAATATATATATATATATATATATATATATATATATATATATATATATATATATATATATATATATATATATATATATATATATATATATATATATATATATATGGATTTCGATTTCAATTATTATTAATATAAAATTATGAATTTTGTTTGTGTTTCATTTTGTTGTGTTTCGTTACTTTAATTTAAAGTATTTTCATGTGTCTAAAATGTATAAAAAGTAACAGTAAATAGTAAGTTATAGGGGCTGTAGTATGATTTTTGTCATGTTATATACGTTTTTAATGTCTCGAAAAATATACAATGGTTACTTTACATCAATTTGTAATATGTGGCTAAATGGTTAACAATAGTCATTATATACAAGAATTATGAGACTACAATTGATTTAAAGTGATGTTTATTAAAAAAAAATTGTCACTAAGTTAAACAATAACAACATGGAAAAGAATATATGTGGCAAATAAATACCATAATTGATTGTTGTTGAGACTAAATACTAGGAAATCATCACATAGATCATTAACTATATGTGTCCATTTACAGAACACGGACATGTTTACCGTAAATTAGATGTGTCTAAAATATACCCAATAGTCTTAATACGATACCGAATTGTCCTTAATTTTAACAAAATGTGTGACTTTATAATACTTATGATTTTAATTCACTTCTTCGTTTGTCTCTATACGTTAGGTTATAGTCACAAACGTTGCTTGTTTTTTGTGACTAATAATTAGCAATTCGTCACATATGAAAGTAAAGTACTTGTGGTCACTTAGCAAATATAGTCACACTTACCATAATTAAAAGTTTACAAAAGATACACAATAGTTTTAATAAAATTTAAATTATGTGATCATATGTAAGAAAAAAACTACATTAAAACATCATGAATGTCGCATTTTGGTGATATATAGTCACAACGTTAAATAAATATGTGTGACTAATAACTGTTTAACACTACAATATTAGATATTTAAGGAACAAAATTCCGTATACATTTGTCACACTTTTATACTACGGCCACATGTTTTCATAGCATACAGACACTACAATTTAAAGTGACCATAAGACCCATACGATGGCATCACCTTCCGTTACACTTTCAGTGAAAAAAAAATATCAATATACGCATATAGCCACACTTTTTGGTGTGACTATAGAGATTGAAAACTATTATTCGATTATAGAGATTGAAAACTTCTTAACTTGAAGAAATCATTTAAAAAAAACATAAATCTTATGCGTTTTGATTGATGCATTGTATTTTTTTTTTTTTTTGCTATTTGGTTCACAGTTACCTTTAAAATCAAGATCCATTACATATTATATGAATTATATTGTTTTTAGTTTTTCAAGAAGGAAATAACCAATGCATTTGATTAGGTTTTTTTTCCTATTTGTTTGAGTTGTTCTATAAGTGGATTTTGAGCTTTAGTTATTTGAGTATACAAAAAAACTTGCATTTTTTCCCTGCTACTCAAAAGTCAAAACTTAATCTTAGCAGGGGAAAAAATAACAAAAAAAATAAACAAAAACAAATTCGATAACATAAAGCTATTGGACCATCTTTATGATTTACTTATGCAAAAAGAGGAAGAGTTTGACTTTGAGTCATTCACTTTGACTTTACATGATCCAACTACTAAATAAAAGTTTAGTCTTTTTACATAATAGAGCATGTCAAGTAAAAGCGAAATCTAGTCTTTTATATGTAGAGTCGGTGCATCACGAAAATTGAGTTTTCTCTAGAATACTAGTAATCATTAACTCAATTTCTTATACATTTGATGCTTATGCATGAACATCCTTTCATAATTGTTGAGGAGGAGGAATTTACATGAGAGTTAAGTATATTAAAAATGTTTAAAAAATATAATTTTTGCTGATTTTTTGTAGTTTTCGAGGTTAAGTTACGTTTTTTTGTAGTCGTTATATTTTTTGTTGATGCTGCTATTTTTTGCTACTATTGTTGTTTGTTGTTAAATTTTTTTATCTTTTACATACGAGTTCCGTTTTTGACACTCTTTATATCCACACGTAGGTGAGATTATACTCTACAACTTTCGTTTAGACTCCATCGGCTATTTTTGATTTTATTTTTAATATTATATTTTTAACGGGACAGGACTGAAAAAGTCCGTTAAAAATTTATAACTTATTCATCTAATGTCCATTTTCATTTGTCTTTTACCGTTGTAAATACTATTGAAGAGAGCTTCGATTCTCGTTTTGGTTGTGTCGGCTAAAAATCACTCGAGCTTTATTTCGAGTTTTTAGTTGTCTACTGCTATATCAAAACTTAGAAAAATCATACCTTCCTCATATGAAGTCAGATTTGGATGTTATGTTTATGAAAATTGTTGGTTTAATGAATACTACGAATTTCATTTAGATCATATAGGCTAAAAGGTAGTTTATCAAAAACTCGCTTTTTACGTCATTCGGTTTCTTGCCGGTTCTGTCACGAAATTTTAAATAGTCATAATTTCTTCGTTATAACTCGGATTTCGATGAGGTTTTCTCATAAATGTTTCTAACGGGATTCTCTAAAAATTTCAATAATAAAACTTTTGTTTATTTAAAATTTTATATTTTCATTAAATTTCAATATTAGATTGGAATCTCATAAGACTTCCAATATTTTCCAAGTGATTCTAAACATAATTTTACTTTATTTATAGTAAAACTATCTGTTAGAACTCAATACTCAATATCACATAATATTTCATAATATTATTTATTACTAAAACACGATTTCAAAGCGTGTATGTTACAGAGGAGGACTTGGGGTGACTACAAGTGGGGTGTGGATGGTAGTATTAGGCCCGTACTACTGAAAGCACTCGTTCTGTATGCAATCCAAGTAAGAATCATTAGGATGCTACGGAGCAATTAGGGATGAGTAGTCAAGTGTGAGTGTGATAAAGCGAGTCTCTGATGATTTTGTGTTGTGTTTCAGATACATCATGGTAGGCACAGACCACACCCCAATGAGTAGTGGAGTTAGCGATGATGAGATTCGCAG